AAGGAAATTTTCGCTCACTTTCCCATAAGATTGGTTGCTCCAGTCGGTAAACTGACACAGATGGTTGCTCCAGTCGATAAACTGACACAGACCAAGAATTCGCCGCACACCACTGCGCGATGCGCCGCGTGCGCGACAATTGTCTTGTCCTTCTACGGATTTGAACTACTACCAAATCATCTCGTTGCAGTATCTCATCTGGATGGTCCAAAACACACGATGAGTCGACAAGGCGTACAAGGTCAAGGATACGCCAGGCACGAAAGATGTGATCCACAGCAGACGTGACGCTTGTGGCGCCTTTCCCAACCAAGGGCATCGTTATAGTGCCCGACCAAAGTGCAACATTCTGAACCAAAGTCCACCGCCCACAATTGACCGATGAATTTAGGAAAGAAGATCGCTCGGCAATGACTTGTTCTACTCTTAAACACTGGACTGCTTTTCAATACAGAACTTTTGATCCTTCATCGCCTGATTACAGGCACGGATAAAAATAATAAATTTACACCATTTTTTGAAAGTATTACTACTTACCTGGCTGTGGAGGCACCATATTGTTTGGCATTGAGCACTGAGGTCCTAACGGCATCATTTGCCCCAAACCACTTGGGCCAGCCTGAAATTAATCCCTCAGATCGCTGTGTTTACCGATAAGTAAAAAAAGTTTGCGTTCATTAGCTCAAGCCTAGGTAATCTGAGCAAACTTAATTGCTCATGGAACACATTTTAAAGAGCCATGAAAGAAATAATGATTCACTTCATCTAATTAGAACGACAACAATGTCGAGCAACAAAGAGGGAGAAGAAGTTGAAGAAATTCACCAAAGCAAAGGATAGCCAAGAGTGCGTTCACACCTCGCGATTTGGTCGCTCTGACGAAATCGCTCGCGCGATTAGACTAAATCGCGAAGTGTGAACACATTCTGGAGTGCAGGTTTAAGTCAATCAATGCAATGCCTGATGAATAGAACTATATTAGCTGGGTGGAGGAAGGGAAGAATTCACTGCTGCAACACTGACAAGAACAGCGCGCGACATTCGGAAATTGGCACCTGAGGGCTACATGAACGAGTCCCATGAAGTTTCGCTAACAAGGGAATGGTTTGAACTTCCCATGGAACTTTGAATGGAGACCTAGGTACATCGATAGAGCCTCGAATGCTGATTACGAATATGCAGATTAAAAGTGCTACGGGGACCTCCCAGACGAGTTCTGGGCGGTCAAAGTTTGCGAAATCCCGGTTTTGTCTCGTAAGCGCTGCTGATCGCTCATTGGCAGTGTCACCGTGGCCTAGTGGTAGTGGTCTCGCTTCAAAGCCGTAATCTCGTGGGTTTGCATCCCGTTGGCGTGAAAACTTTTGCTTCGTCTCCTATAAGAGCTTTCACTCTAATTTTCGAAATTGCTCCGAGTTTACGGCTCAGCAGAGCAAGTAGATCAAGTATTGACGTACTCGATCGAAGTATGGATTTGTCGCTATCTGTCCTCCCTCTCCTCCGACAATTCGAAGTTTTGGCCACCAATCACGAAATTTGCCAAAAGTCGCTTTTGGAGGCAGTTTTGACCCCCCTGTATATCGAATTCATATTTCGGCCGAGAAAACGCTTTTTAGGCCTTTCACGTTGCTTGTGTATTAACTGAACATTCAGCCTGAACGAGAAGCCGATCGTTTTTCTGCGCCCAACGAATAGGATATCGTTTAAAGGGGGGGTCAAGAAAAAATACCCCCCAGGAACGAGTTTATGGGCAAATGTGATTCGTGCCAAAACTTCGAATAGGCATCGGATGGTAATGAAGTGTCAAAGCGGACAGATACCGAACTAAATCCATTACTCTATGAGTACGTCAATCTTGAAATCTACTTTGGCCTCTGCTGAAGCGTAAACAGAGCAATTTTGAAAATTAGAGTGAAAGCTCTTATCGGAAACGAAGCAAAAGTTTTCACGCCAACGCGATGCAAACCCACGAGAATTGCTTGAAGGCGAGACCACGCGCTTACGAGACAAAACCGGGATTTCGCAAATTTGACCGCCCAGAACTCGTCTGGGAGGTCCCCGTAGCACTTTTGATCTGCAAATTCGTAATCAGCATTCGAGACTCATCGATGTTCCCAAGTCTCCATTCAAAGTTCCATGGGAAGTGGAAACCATTCCCTGTAAGAGAAGAGGGCTCAGTGATGTGACGGTCAGTCGATAGGGTAACAATGGGGGGGGGAGGGTAGGGGACGAGGAGAAGGACGAGTTTCGAGTGAATGAGCTGAAAACAACTGAAGCCGACAAGATAGAACACATTAGGACAATGTTACTGAGAGATCAACTTGCCATAAAGTTTGCTCAATAGCACACTACTCAAATTTTTGGATGATCCCGAGAACTGAAGGCAGAAGGAGAGAATCCCGCAGAAAGGGTTCCTGTGTCATTTTCAAGGTCATTCTGCTCTAGCTACCTTTAAGAAGCGGCAACAAAAATATAGGAAAGTTGGATCGTTGGTACAGCTCGCGTTTGAAAGTTACCGCAGTTAGAGTTGCGCAGTATATCCAAACTACTTCATCCCCACGGGAGTGGATAATTCACTGCACGCTTACCGAGGTAGAGTATAAGCCATGGCATGAAGTCATTAAGCTAAGAAGGTCCTGAGGATTAGTTCAAGTTTTTTTGCTCATAACTCGACGTTACTGTGACACTTACAGATCGTTAGTAAAGCTCATGCAGTTTTCAACCTCACATTCCAAATGCTTATCTCGAGCTTCAGTAGCACTTGCTTATATTTACACGGCCCGTCCCCACTTATAAGCGAGCACCAGCATGAAAGCATTCCTTTATGAAGTTGCTTTGTTATGAGCCGTTGAGCTGAGAGGGTAAAAGCGGCCCTGGTGGCGTAACGGATAGCGCACTCGCCCGGAAAGCGTGAGGTGCGGGTTCGACTCCCGCCTGGGGTTCGACTTTTGCCCATAACTCAGCATTCTTGTGATAACACTCATTTATGCTCTTCAAGATCGCCAGCGAAGCAAAGCCCGCTCCCCCTCCCCCACGCTGTATGCAGATTCTCTTTGACTAAGCTACCAGCTAGTACTTGCCGACATCCGATTATCGCCCATCTTGGTTGACATCTTGAAGGCTTTATCGCAGGTCCAAAATTTCTCGAAAAAAACCATCACTGTGTAAATCTTTCACTCGCAGTTTCAGGCCAAGTAATTCGTTGTTATTCCGAGCCATTTCCGCCGTTTTTTTTTGTCTATACAGGGAAGAAGGAAAAAATTTTGCAAATCTGTCGTTTTATTGTGTTTCTTCGACCATTCTGTTAGTTT